GTGTGCCTGTCCCTCTCCACGTATGCGGATAGCCCGGCGTCCTGGACGGAGGTATTTGGGGAGCATGGTCCACCACGTCTTGGATGAGGAGGAGGAGGAGGAGGAGAAGCGACGGGGATGCACGTGGGAATAGGGCGGCGATATGGCGGAGGGAGTCGGGGAATACCAAGAAGTCACAATCAGTCAGCCAAGTCAGCCAGCGTGGTTTCGTGCGCGTGTGTGCAATGTCGGGTGTGGGGAGCTTTAGGTGCGTGAGTGACCGGCCGGCATGATGCGTTGGTCCTGCGGGCTGCCGTTTGGGGGGTTACCTGGGGAATGCAGACGAGGGAGTGTGTGGATCGGTTGATTTGCTGTGCTTGAACCAAGGGGGCGCGAGGTTTGAATGTCTTTGGTAGAGCTGTCTCTCATGGGCATGATTGAAGGTAGCGAGTGGATGGATTGGTAGGTCGTCGTAACTAGGTGCGGTCTTAACAGAAGTAGACATGAAGTAGAGACGAGGGATGGAGATGTTGTGGAGGATGTATTCCCAAAGTCACGCTGCCTTGACGTCGTGATACTACCCCTTTTGGTCTGAGACGGTGGATGAGATGCTGCCTCGTTTGGACTGGTGTTTGCCTTATCAGGGGACATGGAAGATGTTTGGCTTGGCCCCCGGGATGTAGGGGTGTCGTTGGAGATGTTGGGCATACTGCAGGTCCAACCCTCGGAGCGGCATTTGCGTGGGTTCAGGCTTCTCATTGGTGATACTAGGCTTTACTTTTCTTGCTGCCGCGCCGTTTTCGTTATATTCTGTAAGCGACATGTCGGCCGTGTAAGCAAAAGACTCAGGTCATCCAAGTCCTTGAGCCACGGGGTGGAGGGAGCTAGGCAAACTCCACCTTGTGGATGGTGAGCTATCAGGGACCAAGATTGTGTCTCTCTCTCCCTGTGATATGTGAGGTGTATGAAGGATGAGGTGAGAGCTCTTGGTTCTTTTTGCTGTGCTGTAATCTTTGCTAAGCTTGGGGAGCCTTGTCCTCTGCCCGACTGGAGACGGGCGATCAATACGCGGGAGATGGACTGGCCACCAGACGGATGGGGGGCAATGGGGCCCCGGGGAGAGCGGGATCAGGCGGTTGATGGCGCCATCTAGGTTGGACGTTGTGAGAGAGCGAGACAAGAATTGAGTGGGAGGGTGATCATGGAGCCCACCGCGTGTGGGACGGCAGATGAGAAAGGGCGCTCTCTCATGGGGGATTGCAAAGGGGGACGACGTTAAGCGAACTCTCTGTCTTGCTCGCCTCTCGCTTCGCTTGTAAGTTTGAGGGGGCGATCGTGTGTCTATCTGCTTAGAATGGGCGTCTAATGTGGGCTACTCGGCCGTTGGAATGGATACACCAACTAGGAAGAGGGGTGTCAGGACTTCAGATGATGGCGGCGGGGGAGAAAGACAACCACATGGTTCATGGTATTTACGGGCTATATGGGCAACGGTTGATGGTCTGTCGGATCAGGGACCGGGACAGCGGAACCGGAAGGTTTCTTTCAGATGACTTGTGCGGGTGTGGGTTCGTCTCTGTGAGGACTTGAGAGACGGTTGAAGCATGTAGATTACAAGAAATGGGACGGACACAATTAGCACGGTTCGAACGGTCTGGAGAACGGTCCATGGGTTTGAGTTTGTCGCGATGGAGACCATGGGCAGCAAAAGAACGCGCGGCGTCGACATAGAATTTGATACCGCCGGCGGGATATGGACACCCGGCGCCGACTAACACGTTTGCTTGCTTGCTAGACCCGGGCAGATGGGTGATCGCAGAGGTCATGGCGTTTCTCGGCCGGAAGGTAGATGCTTCTTCCATTCGGAACATTTTCATTGCTTCTTTTTCTGGAGTTGCGAGACTTTCAGACCCTCATGAGCCGTTTGATCCTCAGGAGAGGCGAGAAAGAGTGGTGACAGTGGTCGGTGGACGGTGGACGTCGGTGGGTTTGGGGTTCAGTTTTTGGTGTCTTGGTCCGCCTGTGATGGATGTGAGGCCGTTTGCGTATGCGCAATGCGTGTCTTGGAAAAACCAAAACCGTAGGAGGCCCTTTCTGCCTACGTAAGTCGACGCGTTGGCGTCGGTTTCCGAGACGCAAAGGGAGACGAAAATGTGGGAGATTAACGGAGTCTTACGTAGATGGAGAAACGGCGCCAGCGGGGGTCGGTTGGTGATTTGAGACGGGGATGGCTCCTCGACGGGATGTGGAGGCCTTTTGAGTGGTTCCCGACCTGGTGGGAGAGGCAAGGGGAGGGGGTATGGGGGGCGTGTCAGAGTGAAAAAATGAAGGGTTGTGTTTGAGAAAGATGAGTGTCTTTTTTGGAAAACGGCCGATGATGTGGGTTATCGTTGCATCGTTCTAAGAAGCTTAGTTGGTTTGGTGATGTGCATGTATTGAAATAAGAATGGGTGTCATTTGGTTGGTTCGTGGTGGAGCGGAGGTGTTGGTTTTGAGTTGACCGGGATTGTTGGGGGCTCTTTGAGACTACCGTCGTCTAGCACAGATAGGCTCGTTTCTTTCTCGTCGACTGACGTTGTTTCGACATCTGCAAAAATTCCCCGAGGACGATCTCGCAAAAAAAAAAAAATATGCGTGGTCTGGACTGCGGTCCAATCCGGCTACAACGGAGGCAGGGTGGCGACGGCGGCGGTTTATCAACCTTCTGTGATATCACCGAGAGCAACATGTTCAAGACTCAACGAAACAATGGTTGCATGTCGTGTCTCAGAGAAACCTGCGGGCGTTTTCAGCAAACATATACATGCGTCATTGTGATTTAGACAATGTGTTGGTCTACGTCGGTTCTAAACCATGTTTCGTGATTTTAGCAAGGCTTTAAACATGTATCAAAAATTGGAGCATGATTACCTGTCTAAGGGGCTATCATTGTGGCCTTGGTCATTCTCAACCGGACTGACCAACGTACCTCACACCAGATATGTACCATACGATTAAGAGGTGACAGGCTTTCAGGGACGAACACCTGGACCTCGACGCAGGTAGTTCTCAAAAATGAAGTCCTCAACAAGCATGCTCAACGAAAGCCTTTCAATTATATTGGCCAACTGTATCAGTAATGGGTATTGTCAGAAGAGGAGCAGTGAGACGGTCTTTTGATGTGTGATGGTATTGAGCTCGATCATGTGTGCAATCTGGCAAAGCTGCTATGAACCGAGCTATGTAGTCTTGACCCCCAAACTTTCTCCTTAAAGCTAACGTATAATGTGCGGCAGACTGTGAGATCTTACTAGATCAAGTAAGAGCGTAGATGCATTTGTATTGCCCGGGGGGACCAAAGGCAACAAGAAGCCTCGAGATCGCGAACTCGCGCGCAACATGAGCGAGCTGTACAGTTTCTTCCTCCCACTTGGCGTCTCGAGAGTACTTTGTTCAGATGTACCAGGGATGACGATGTGTCTTTCCGATGCATCCTGAATCTTTTACTGGATGCTCATCCCGTTCCAGACGAAAGAAGTCGATGATAGATGTTCTTGTTGTATGTGTATCATCGTCAACTTCGTCCGCCTGCTGTATGATCCATCCACAGGCCGCCATCGATGTTCTACTTTGCTTGTCAAAGCGACAGTCCGGATCTCTCGAGAACCAGATCGAGAAGCTTCTGATGTATGGTCTCTTTTCCACGTCGGATTTGACCAAGTGCAAAGATTCAAAGGTATGAAGTGTCCCAGCGCAGGTCAAATCGCAAGAAGCTCTTCTGGCCATGTGAATTTGAAGAGATTCGAGGCCTCCTTTGAATACCTCCAGTGGTTCTATCAAATTCGCAACGCATGAGATGCGCCTTAAGTCGCTCACCTGGGGCTTATAAGAACAATACCTCCATGGGAATCCCTCCAGACGAACGTGGCGGATGAGACTCGCATTGATGACCCCGATCGTGCGGAGGAAATCCTGTACCTGGATGCGATAGGGAACAGGTCGGGGGCCGGCCGAGGCCAAAGCAAATCGGTTTTTCGAAAAGAATATGACGTAGGCTTCTTCGTAAACCCCCTTGCAGGTGAATAGGATAGACCTGGAGTCGCGCTCGCTGCGATCGGCGAACTTTGTTGAGATCGGTCGGTAGAAACCAGGGTGGACGAGAACTAGCTCGTAGATTCGCTTTCGAAGCTCTACAGGTAGCTCCAAGTGTCTGAAACTTCTTTCGTCCCTCCGAAACTTCCTCCTTAGCGCTTCATCTTCCTTCTTCCTGATCCGTTTCAGTTTGTTCCTCTTCTTGAGTGCTTTCTTGAGTGCTTTTCGCTCCGTCTCTTCCGGTGATTCGTAGAAGGATGGATGAGACCAGCGGTCAGGTAAGAGATAATAAACAGCCACGCAGGGGCAACAGAAAATACAACAGGCGATTGCGACAAGATCTTCGACAAGGTCATAGGAAATGAATCCTGGAAAAGATCTAACCATCTTGACGCCCGTGATATTGCCTAGAGGACGGTCGTGACATGCTCATAGAAGCGTATAGAACTGGAAAATGGACCAGGTATGCAAGAAAACTTATCTCACCGACTTTCATTTAAAATTTTAACTGTTTGAGAACCTCACTGGGTTTGATGGCGGTGCCAGGCGATCCGAAAAACCGAACTTACGTCAATACCCTGCTGGGGCGTGGCACAGGACACGATCTTATATCGGATTCACTCATGGAAGTCATCCAAACCGCAATCTCAGGCTACTTGTGCTAGAAGCTCGGACAAAATTCAAATTTGGACTACACATCGGCTTTAAAAGATAGAAGGGGAAGGTTGTCGTCGATGAAATGAAGCGTTCTTCAACATTTGAAAGTTAACAGATAACCTAAGTAATATAATATGTCTGTCATCCGAATCCGTAATTCAAAAAGCTTAAGAAGCATGTATGTACGAACATCTATATAGATCAATTCCGTCATCTCCGTAGTATACACACTATTTGTGTTGCAACATCTTGAGCAATCCCCAGGACAACTCTCGCGGTTCCTCAAATACAGCCTAACGAACATCTTTGGATGACCAGTTCGGCAAAGAAACTCCGTGCTTCTTAGAAATGTATTCTTTGTAGTGCAACAACTTGTACAGATCCTCAGGCAAGCACTCGCGAACCCTCAAGTCGACACCAAGCTCCTCTTCTATCCAAGGAAGCAACGGATGAGTAGTGTCGATCTTGGAAGGCTCGCTCACTTTGATCCATCCGCAAAACTTGAAGATACTCCTCATCGATATCTGTTTGCGATCCGCGTCCTTGGAAAGAGGCGTCATCTTGACAGAGAGTGACCCGATGCCCTTAATTCTTCCCATCGTGGCGTAGACGGCAGCGAGGAACCCGTAAACTTCGTCTTCGGGGTCAGTACCCTTCGGAATTTTCCGATCCTCGTGAAAGGCATCCTCGAGAATTTGGGGGTCTTCTGGAGCTCACGACTGATTCGACTTTTTCATTGCCCCGCGCAAGCTCACCGCGGTGTCGTCGGGCATATCAATCTCCACAGAGTCGAGACCGTGGGAGAACCATTGGAGGTGGGTGACGATCGGCTTCACGTTATTGCTCAAGGGCTTCTTGTCCTGCCACGCCGACCAGGGGAAGCCTCTCAGAAGGACACGACGGATGACACCGACGTTGGCGCTGCTGGCATGGTTGAAGAAGAACTCCATGTCGCTTTTGATCGAGATCGAGGGCTTGGGCTCGAGCTGGCCTCTCCAGCGAGCATCTGCTTTGGCGGCTTCTCTCTTTGCTCTGGCGGATTCTCTGGAAAGTCTCTTGGCTGTTCTGTCATCCTCGTTTTCTATTTTGCCTGTGAGAACCGCTGCCTTTGGCGCTTTCGTTGGCGGACCGGAGGGCGGGCCCCACGTCGTGGTATACTTCGTGTAAAGGCCTGGCCCAAAGGCAAAAGTGTTTTCCCGATAGAGGACTTCAATGGCCTATTGGGAGATCTTCTTGCATGTAAAAATGATGCTGCGCTTGAGGAACTCGCCAGGGGTGTTGGGGATCTCGTCAGGGGTGTTGGGGATCTCGTCAGGGGTGAGCTGGCGTGGGCGTATAGGCTTTTTCCGGACCAAGAGATGACGATACACCTCCAGTCGAATCTCGCATGGCATGTCGAGAATACCCAATTTGGATGATTTGGGTTGATCCATGTAGTAGGGGATCGAGCCCACCTCTACTCTCATTGTCTCCGTCGTGGTTATGGTGGTAGACATGACTGTGACTGTGGCTAGCTGATCCTCTTGGTAAGGTACTTTTGTTTTTAGAATGTTGTTATTCTATGAGATGTGTGTATTAAATACAAAGATATAAGTGGGATGAAGAGAGAGAGAAGGCATCATAATATACCAGCGCCTGGGTTTTCGGAGAAAGGAAATAATCATTGTGAGCCTGAAAAACTTTGAAGCTATCTGCGACCTGTTTGACCACACCGTAATGGAACCTAACCAGCCAGGTGCAGGAGAGAATCCGTACAAGTCCCAGCTCCATATTGCATCAAGACTTACCGGTGTTTGAAACCCAGTTTGCTAGATATCGCATCAACAGTTACTGGTGGTTGAAAGCCAGCTTAATAGTCACGGAGCCGAAGCCACCACTCGACCGCTTCCGGGGCCGAACAGGCGTCGGTTGTCGTCTGCCGGGGGCTTTGCCAGCCTGTAAGAAATCGGTGAGGCGGCGGTCAGCAACGATACAGCGGGGTATTGGTGGGGTAATATCCATGGATGCATTATCGTTTCTTTTTTCCAACGGGTGCGGCACCCATCCATCACTTTTCGCCTCCCCGAGCTCAGAGCCTGTTGACATTTGCACTTTCGTGGTTTGACTGGCAGACATGATTATTCAACTCGGCTCGGCGTAAGAATATGGACAGCCTGCCTCGGACCCGATTGCCACATTGTTCAATCAAATCAGCCTCACTTGCTGTGTCAACCAACTGGGGGGCGACGGATCTATTTGACTCTCGGATCTAGACCGCGAACGCCTCGATGACTCACATGCGAAGTCGTCACCCGCTTGGTTATCGAGCGCATCCCTGGGCTATAATCCATTGGTTACTGCAGCCGAATGGAAGTACGAATCTGCGTGCGGTTTTGTTTTCTCACTCATTCGAGAATGATAGGCACTCCGAATAGCGAGTCCAATCGAAGGCGATTCCGAGACGGGAACTACACTGCATCTTTAGTGAGCTGCTGATGACGTTGGCCGCGTCCACCACTGATTTCCGCTCGTTCATCCGGGGCTTATAGTCACGAGGCAAACTTTTATGAGGGTTGCAAGAGACTTCTTAGTCTCTGCATCGCCCTCTTTTAATCGATTCGCCACCCAGGCAGTTCTCAATTACCCACTTCTACGAATTAGCCTGCCTGCTTCTACGCAGTAGTCGAAGACTCATTCCGAACCCACTCATCAGCTTAAAAGGCTGTGTGGCGTACTTCTTATTCGATTGTGTCATGCATAGTACTTTCTTTTGAGTAATTGTTAGCCTTTCTGTCTTCATTGGTGTTGGTTAGGCAGGAACACTTGCGCAGCCTGAACGCGTTGCTCCTAAGTTGTCTTGGTTGCCTCCGTTGCTTCCCAAACGTCGTCCGAACTAAGGTCGTCTTTGAAGTCGCCTCAACTGCTGCCTTGGATTTATGGACTCGTATATATATAACCTACAAGAGCCTCATCCAACCTCTTCCACTACTCCAACCGACGTCATTGCAACTTGGTCGCAAGATGATGGACTTGGGCAAAATGGACTTCGCAACCTTGTTCAAAGGCAACTTCTCCGCCATGGCCGAGAACATGACCGGCGGAAAGTCCTACTCGGGCGACAGCAAGAAGATGATGGAGAGCCTTCTGCCCATGCTGGGCGGCCAGTTCAACCCGGTCGTCCGGTCTCTCATGTTCCTCTACCAGATGATCGGGTCCCATCTGGGCATCGACCCGACGCTCATCCTGACGTTGGCGGGCTTCATCTGGGCCGCGAATAGGGTCGCCCGGCAAGTGTACGGCGCCATCTTCCGCGTTATCCAGGACAACTTTATGAGTTCGATCCACGTCCAGAGCACCGACGAGATCTACGCGCACATGATGAAGTGGCTCGCCCTGCAGCCCCTGATGGCGAGCTCGCGGTCGTTGACCGCGGAGACTGTGAGCAAGACGGCGTGGGAGGAGGAGGAGGAGCTTGAGGCGCTTCAGACGATCAGGATAACAGGGAGCGGCGACGGCGAAGCCGAGTATCTCAACTTTTCTAACCAGGAAGCCAAAGCTGTGAGTTCAAACCACCCCCTCCTACATTGTTACGCAGCCAGTACTAAAACTCTGTTTAGCTTCCAAGATATGTACCGGCGGTTGGTGTACACGGTTTCTGGTTCAAGGGCCGCTACTTCAGACTGCACCGCAAGCAGCAGAATGTCTTCGACGGCCAGGAAGCTTACGGAACGTTTAGGAAAGAGGAAGACCTCATCATCTCCTGTTTCGGCCGGGACCCGGCGCCCATCAAGGAGCTGCTTCGTTTTGTCAAGGAGTTCTTCTACTCAGATCACTATGCTCGCACAACCATCAAACGCCCAAGTCCGCAGCCGATGCGCAGGTACGGGGGCCGCTATAACTGGTCGCAGGTGGCCAACCGGCCCGTCCGCCCTATGCGCACCGTTGTTCTCGACCCCAAGCAGAAGGGCCAAGTCCTCGCCGACATGAACGAGTATCTCCATCCGGCCACCCCTCGCTGGTATGCTAACCGCGGTATCCCCCTTCGTCGCGGGTACCTGTTCTACGGACCCCCGGGAACAGGAAAGACGTCGCTGTCGTTTGCGTTGGCTGGTGTCTTTGGCCTGGACATCTTTGTCATCTCCCTGCTTGAACCGACGTTGACGGAAGAAGATCTCGGCACGTTGTTCAACTCTCTCCCCCGCCGTTGCGTCGTCCTACTGGAGGATATCGATACCGCTGGTCTGAGCCGTGGAGACGAAGAACCCGAAGATGCCAACCCAGAACCGGAGTCCAAAGGTGACAAGCAAAACGACGAAGCCGCCAAGGACGGCGACAGCACTGCCAAGAAAGGAGACCGGCCCAGCAGGAGACAGACGAAAGATGACTGGAAAGTCTCAGACCTCGCCCGCGCGCTGAAGAAGGAGGCCAAGGACGACAAGAAAGGCATCTCCCTCTCGGGCCTCCTCAACGCCATCGACGGCGTCGCCTCGCAGGAGGGCCGCATCCTCGTCATGACGACCAACAAGCCCGAGTCGCTCGACGAAGCCCTCATCCGCCCAGGCCGCGTCGACCTACAGGTCGGCTTCACCAACGCCACCCCGGCGCAGGCGACGGAGCTGTTCCAGCGCATGTACGAGGCCGACGGCGCGGTGCCCGCCAAGCGCGTCGACGGGCACGTCGCGCCGCCCTCGCACCCCGGGCCGAGCATCGTCAAGATGAACGGCTCGTCGTCCGCCTCGGGGTCCGGGGCGTCCACCCCTTCGCCTCTGCGGACTTCCTTCGGGCAGGGCGAAGCTGCGGCTGCGGCTGCTACTGCTCCGGCGGCGCAGGAGGCGGAGAAGAAGCGCTTGTTCGATGCGGAGGAGCTGGGTCGGATCGCGGGCGAGTTTGGCGCCCTCATTCCCGACGGGCTGTTCAGCCCGGCCGAGATCCAGGGGTTCTTGCTGAAGCGGAAGAAGGACCCGCGGCGGGCCCTGAAGGAGACGGCGGAGTGGGTTGAGGGGATGCGCTTGCAGAAGGAGAGCAAGACCAAGGTGCTCAAGGTGCAGTGAGACTCGAATACGTTTTATGATGGACGTTTGAATCCATATCCAGCACCAACATTCCATTGTCACCGGATGGTAGTGAACTATCCTCTTATAATTAGTCGTCTTTTAGTACAGTTTGATGATGCATGGGTATAAACAAGATACTCCCTAAGCATGGTTTGGACTGAATTGCAGAATGAAAACATCAAATTAGGCAATAATAATTTTGACCCCTTGATCATAGGTCGTGCAATGTATGTCTTGATGTAGTTAGTGATGTGCAAGAGACTGAGGCTCATCATAACGGCGCAGAGGGGTAAGCCCCCTCAGCTTGAGTCTCGTCAACGTGGTAACGCGGAGGCTCTGTCTGCTCAGGCAGTTCATCTCCTTCATCATAGTATGTCTCGTATCCTTCGCCTTCCTCACCGTATTCATACGTCTCTGCATCGTCGTACTCTTCTTCCGCATAACCCTCCTCTGCTTCGCCTTCCATGCCAGGAACAGGCGCAAACCCTTCGTCTTCTTGACCGAAGCCGTCGTCCTCGTCATCTTCATCCTCAAGACTGTCGTCTCCCGCAAGCGACATGAGTTCGTCCTGAACACCCTGCTCCGCGTCGGGGGTCTCCTCTCCTGCACCCATGGCAGCCGCAGCTGCAACACTCCGAGGTCCGTTGGCCTTCGTGACGCGATAGGCAGTTCCTTTCCTCTTCTTCTTGGGCTCCTTGAATCGTCTGCCGTAGAGCACCCGCTTCTCGGCATCGGTGAGCTCTAGGTCCGGCAGGGGGATGTGCACGCTCGACGACCCGGGCGGCGGAGTCGTATCACGGACGTCAAAGATGCCGGCGAAGTCCTCGTCCTTGAGCTTGCGGCCAAACTGGATGGCGATCATCTTGGTCTTCATGATCCCCTTGACCTTTGCCCAAGTGCCCTGGTGGTACCAGCCGCTGTTGTAGATGTCGACCTCTGACCGCTGCGGTGCCGTGGCGAACATCTTGGCGATTAGCGGATCCGTGATGTCGCAAATCTGCCAGACCTTGCCGTCGGTCCAGTAGGACTTCCCGTCAAAGATGTGGCTTTCGTGGTTGTCGCCCTGGGGCTGGCGCTGCTCCGTACGCAGGCTGCGGATGGCGTGCCACGTCTCGCCAATGTGGCCAGCCTGCAGCTTGCGCATATTGAAGATCATCGTCTGGTAGGTTTTGTAGGCCGGGTCGGTGCGCGGGTCGATGCCGTACTTGATGATGGCGTCGCGCCAGGGTCCGCCGCGGAACTGATACCCGACGTAGCCGACGCACCGCTTCATGACGTTGGCATTTCGAACGATGGAGCCGAGTTTATTGAGGAGGGAGCGGCGTGTCCAAATAGGTCGTTCCTCCATGGCTTCTTCCATCTTGGCTATGCAGGTGGTCACCTCCTCGTCGGTTCCGTCATATGGCATTTGCGGGCCTGTTGGGATCGGGTACTGATCTGCCTTCAAGAAGTAGCCAATAAGAGTTGGTAGTTGGGTATTAATGAGCTTGGTCTGTCCGGCGTGGTCGAGCTCAGATCGCACGTAGGGATTCTGTGAGTAGTTGTAGATGAATGGGAGCGTCATTGGCGTCCACACTGGTGGAGGGATGATATCCACGTTTGGTCCTTTGTCGACGCCGTCGACGAACTGGAAGTTCCTCATTTGAGTGACTGGTATAGCTGTCAGTGTGTTTCCAAAATCGCAGACCGCAGGCACACTCACTGTCACCAGGCATAACCTGATCCATGAATCTCGAAATGAAAGGAGACTCTTTCAGGCTCCAGTGGAAATCTGCCATACCGCGGAACCGGTGAGTGTGCTTGATGACGCCGACGGCCTCCACGTCGTAATTGTCGACATTGTCTTGCATTTTCCGCCGCAGGACCTTCGGATTGTCTAGCCGCGACCTGGAGCAGATCTGCTCGCGTGGTGATCTGGACCGGGACGCATCGGTCATTTCGACCTCACCTTCCCACGGCCCGTCCGTACCCCTCTTGCGTTTCCTGCCAGTCCGCTTCGGCACGGTCACCTTCAGCACGACATTGTGACTTGTAGCACTGTGTGACATGATTGGCCTGCGGAATGGGCTCTCGGGGTTGAGATAGAAGGGGATTGTATTCCGTTCAGTGTCGAGGATCTGGCAGGCTGTCAGTACCGCCGGGTAGGTTGAATTTTCCAGTCATTGCCGAAATCTACGCACATTCTGGAACGACGAAATGCTTCCAAAGGCCTTCTCTGCTCTGTCCAGATTCATGACGATCATGGGAATCTCCACGGCACCCATGGCCCGTTTGGGGATGGGGAACCGGGGCGCTGAGTTGCTGTCATGTCGATTCTGAGCGGTTGAAGATTCCTCTTGCGGCTCACTCACATCTTCCTGGACATCCTCTGCAAGCTTGTCATTCTCTGTGCCGTCATTCATGTGTTCGTCTTCGGTGTCCATGGTGATGGTTTCCGTGCGGCCGTCTTCTAAGACGCCTTGGCCTTGCGGGCGGTTGCCCAGCCGTTTGCTGTTGGATAATCTTCGATTGGCTGTAGGTGGCCCAGGATAAAGAAACAGGTTATCTGAGACCGCAAGTCTTAGAGCGACTAGTTGACGAAGGTGGAGTTGCGACGATTTGCGGATGTCGCCGCGTTGAGCTCAGTGATACGTTGTTTGACTGGAATTTTACCTGCTGTTCTGAGCAACTGAGATTCTCGATTGATGCACGGTGCGAGATGTAGCCCGACCTGAGGCAGGTGCTAGGTGAGTGGCTGTAGCGCAGTACAGTGAATGAACTGTACGGGCAAATATGCTGAGGATCTCTTGACTAGCATCATGAGGCAGTCATCTGGCGAATCCTTTCAAAATAACTGTATGCCTGCTGATTATGAGCCAGGACGACAAAAACTAGCTACAGAAGAGACAAGGCTACAATACTACAATGCGCAGATTGGATGAGAACAGGACAGGCTGTGTTGGTAAATCTGTGATTGACATACACCGATAAGGTATGGTACGCACGCGACTCTATCTCATCCGGATTCACTAGTGACTCTTGTTCCAGCAAGACACAGTATCAGAGGAATGGAGACTGGCGCATTCGTGTTTCAGAATCCTCAGCAGATCAAGTCGTCCCATGTTGAACCCGTTCCCGAAGACCTGGGACGCTCCTGTTCTGTGATAGCTTGGACCCAGGGTGATGTGATGATGCCCACATTGTTTGGGGGCAATGAGCCCAAAGAAGGCCCTTGCAGCGGCTGCCAGGGACCTGCAGCAGTCAAAATACAGTGCGTGTGTTCATTGGCACGGTACAAGCAACGGCTGTGTCTGCGTGTACGCTGCTGAGGTAAGGTGTGAGGTAAGGTCGCAGGCGTTCCTTGCTTTAGTCGAGTGTGTTTTGGGATAAAGCCATCTCCTGATGGAAATTCACTTCAAAATACCGAAGTGATGACTGAGTGAAGTCAGTAAACATCGGCCCTGCAGCTGCATTGTGCCGTCAGGAGATGCAGATTTGCTGTGTAGGTATGGAGATCACATGTGGGGGCCAAGAAACCCAGGCCGGACCTCGATCTGGACGGGACGGGAGGGCAGAAACCTCCCGGATAAACCCTCCTGCCGACAAAAGAAATTGAGCTCCAGGGTCCAGCTTCGCTCGTCCAGTCGCAGACAGCGAATGTCGACAGGTAATCCACATCAATGTCGAGGAGAGAGGCAGGAGCATGGAGGGGTCGCGGGCCTTATCTTACCTAAGACGCTCACCAGCCAATCAAAAGCTGTCGTATTCGCTGATCGGGCCCGTGCAGAGGTCACGGTCGCAGTCAGGTCCCTTCCACAGGTGCAATGCAAGTGCCAGAACCTGTGCCCGTGCCAGTGCCAATCAGCGAGGTGCCATCCGTCAACACCCCCTTTCCCCATCCGTCCCTCCTTGGCTCCCGTTGCCTGCCCGCGTGCTGCTTGCTGTTTAGGTAGGTACTGCGTGCCTTACCTTACCTTGCCTTACCTACCTCACTGCTTGTGTCCGGGCAGCTAGCAGCTGTTCGATCGACTTGCAGCGAGCGCCCTGTAAATTGTAGGTGGTGTGTCCTCCTGCCGAGCCATGAAAGATGGGCGTTACAGAGCCCACTGTCGTTCCACACCCGCCCACTTCAAGGCACACTTCAGCAGCTCCCACCGGTGCGCTGCTGTCGGGTCCGCTCCTGCAGTTGGGATCTCTCCTGGAGGTTGGAGCACCTGTCCCGGGCTTGACCAGTGTTGAAGCAGAACCTTCCTTGGAAGGAGCCTCTTCACAGCCTCGACCTCTCCACTCAACCACCTCATCATACCTTACTGGACCTCACCCAGGTAGGCACCTTACCTACCTAACTCCTTGGGGACGGTACCTTAGCTGAGGTGTTGACAGTTGTGGTTTGGTGTGTGTGTGTGTGTGTTTGTGTGTGTTGTTGTGCGTCTCTCACCTCTCCAACTCGCCTCCGGCGAATGCGTACCTACCGCCTACCTACCTTACCTTACTTTGCCTTCGACAACACTCTCCAATCTACAACTCTCGTCCATTGACTTGACCGCTCGAATATTCTTACATCCGCATCAACGCCTCCTCTCTTTCGTCTTGCTTTCGGGCGTCAATCTGTAAGGTATTGCTCTCACCCTGTCCATCATCTCTGGCCGCCCGCCCGCCGCCCCTCAACCAACCAGCCAACCCCCGGCGTCGAGGCCTGTTCCTGGCTGGCCGCTGCGCATCACTGGACCGTCCGTCTCCAGCTGTCGAGTCTGTCTTCTGCTGGGCGACGTGCTCTGGGCCGGACAACCCTCTGGCCATACCATACCGTGCCTTGCCGTACCGTGCCTCTTCGACCTTACCTTAATATTTCACCGCCGCCGCTAGCACGTTAGGGGAGACCGGCTGCTGGTCCCGCGTCGTCGTCTCACACTTCACACCTGGGCCCCGCAAGCAACTTCAGCTTTACCGACGATCCAGAGCATCCCCCAACTTCGTCGCTTCTTGTCCAGAACATCTGGCTTTCTTCCTTTCGCTGCCCGATCATTTCTTCTTCCGCCGTTTTTTTGATGGGGCATAACCTCGTCGCAACGATCTCTCTCTCCAACCCGCTCCCCTAGCTGCTTCCCCTTGTCTGCCCATCACGAAGCGACGCTATCCTGACAACCCAACCCCAGCCCTTTCGCGAGCGACCGCCCTCCTTCATCGTCTCGTCGACATCGATCTGCCGACGCGCTTGCTACAACCCCAAACTCGCCCTTAGCTGAGACCCACGCACGCTCCGTTCGCCGCGCATCATCGAAGCCATCTCGAGACCGAGGCTGCGATAGCCCTTCGATTCCTTCGTCTTTGCATTCCATTTCGACGTCAAACAATTGACTCGATCCGGCCGATTCCAAAATCACCCCTGCTTACCACCACCGACGCCGACCATCCTGCGCCCGCAGCATATATCCTTCTCTGCATTGGACCTCCGTCCATTGCGATTCACTGCTGCTCGCTACATTAGCTGAAGAGTCGGGCGATTCTGTCGCCCCACCGAGAGGGACTTCATCGTGACGTCCAAAATGAAGCGCTTCAGCCAGAGGGTGGTAAGTCACCGTTGCTACCCGGCCCCTGAGTCTCATCGTCATACTGGACACCCTATTGACGTCCCAGCATGCCCAGCTCTCGCGCGGCAAAGACAAAGACCCCAATAAGCCCAAGAAGAATAAGGATTCCAAAGATGGGACTGCATCCCCCTCGTCGGTCGGCTCAGGCCGCGATGCAAACCAGTCGCCTAACCCGACTCCTTCATCCTCGACGACAAACCTCTCCGATTCCCGCAATAAGCCGCTGCCGCCTAACAACGCCGGCGCCCACGGCGGAGAACCGAACCAGCCGTCGCCATTGAGCAACCAGCAAGGTGCTGCCCCGGATCGCTTTGGCTCCACGGGAGCGGCCCAAAGTGCTAACGGTGGAGGTTCTCCAGCTCGCCATGGCACCCTACCGCCTACCGTCATCATCAGCCCCAGCGCTCCTGTAGGTTCTCAACCGGCACTGCTCATTCAAAGCTGTTGCTAATCTATCTCCAGCACGTCCCGCCCCCTGGTGCTGCCGAAACCATGCCACACGATCTCGCGCCTCCGAAAGCGGGCACCAAGTCGCTCATGTTCGATCGCCTCCACCAGACGCCCAAGGACGTGCCCGAGGGCCTCAGAACACCCAAGCGACAGCATTCGTCGAGGTTCGATATCTCTGCTCACCGCGAGCTGGAGAAGCTTCCTGGATTCCACGAAGTTCCCCCCAACCGACGCCAAGAGCTCTTCATGCAGAAGATTGACCAGTGCAACGTCATTTTTGACTTCAATGATGCCAGTGGTGACATGAAATCCAAGGAGATCAAGCGACTCGCCCTCCACGAACTGCTCGACTACGTCGCTAATAACCGTCAAGTCATTACGGAGCCAATGTACCCTAGAGTTGTCGAAATGTTCGCCAAGAACCTCTTCCGACCCATTCCGCCCCCGATGAACCCCCAAGGAGAAGCTTTCGATCCGGAGGAGGACGAACCCGTCTTGGAGGTTGCTTGGCCGCATATTCAGGTTGTCTACGAGTTCTTCCTGCGCTTTATCGAAAGCCAGGACTTCAACACCAACATTGCCAAGGCGTACATTGACCATAGCTTCGTGCTGCAGCTGCTGGAGCTCTTTGACTCGGAGGACCCGCGCGAGAGAGACTTCCTCAAGACGACGCTTCACCGTATCTATGGCAAGTTCCTGAACCTGAGATCGTTCATCCGTCGCTCCATCAACAACGTATTCTTCCAGTTCACATACGAAACGGAGAGATTTAACGGCATTGCTGAATTGTTGGAAATTCTGGGCTCTATTATCAACGGTTTCGCTCTGCCGCTGAAGGAGGAGCATAAGACCTTCTTGACGCGGGTATTGATACCTTTGCACAAGGTGAAGAGTCTCAGCATGTACCACCCTCAGCTGGCGTACTGCATTGTCCAGTTCCTTGAGAAAGATGCATCTCTCACAGAGGAGGCAAGTTTTGGATCCGAGGCTTCGCATAATCGCTTGCTAACCGAACCAGGTTGTCCTCGGACTGCTCCGCTACTGGCCCAAGGTCAACAGCACAAAAGAGGTTATGTTCCTTAACGAGGTCGAAGACATTTTCGAAGTCATGGACCCGGCTGAATTCGCCAAGGTTCAGGAGCCTCTTTTCCACCAGCTGGCCAAGTCGGTTGCCAGCCCCCATTTCCAGGTTGCTGAGCGTGCTCTTTACTTCTGGAACAATGAGTACTTCTGCAACTTGGTCAGTGATAACGTTGAGATTATCCTGCCCATCATGTTTGCGCCTCTATACGAGAACTCCAAGGGACACTGGAACCGGTGAGTATTACCACAGAGTGCAAGCGCGCCTAGTACTAACTAATTCCTGCAGTACGATTCACGGCATGGTTTATAACGCCATGAAGCTGTTCATGGAGATCAACCCTCAATTGTTTGACGACTGCTCCCACGATTACACCGAGCAGCAAAACAGCGCCGCAGCCAGAGAAGCCCTCCGTGAAAGAAAGTGGGCGTCAATCACCGATCAGGCCAACCAGAGACGGTCAGCCAACGGTGCGGGCGCTCCGACATCAGGTAGAGCACACGCTGGCTCCCTTTCTCGCGTTGATGAAGTCGACGGAACCGAAGACAACCAGAAGCGATTAGACTCTCTCAAGCTGCAAGATGGCGACCGCAGGGAACGTCGGCATGAGCAACAAGACTCGGTAGGATCAACCCGAAGCCAAAAATGATTTTACCCTGTTGCCATTACCCGCCTCTGTCTGGTTGTCAACCTGCGCTTGAGGATTCTCAATACCCTTTGAAACTTTGTTTTGCTATTTGTTACAAAACTCACCCTGTCCTGTTCCTCAGCATTGTCTTGCATCCTGCTTTAATCGCCGAATTTCAGTGCTTGTTTGAATGTTTGATTGACCAGTGTCCGATATAGGCCCCGGAACAAAACGGCGAGGAGAAAGCCGAGGCGACTGAGGAGTCATGACCTGCCTTGGCATTATTACCGAATGATTTGCCTTCAACGGGTTGAAGGACTCCAAACGGGAACATCATGCATGCGCTTAGGGATTCAGAGGATAACCGCCGGGTACGCTTCGGGTCAGGAGAGAGAGGACCACAAGCTCTAGTAGGGATGGGGCTTCGCCGCCCTCGGAACATACTTAATTTTCATGATGTCACTTTTATGTTTCCTTTCTCCTCGGCAAAGATTCAGACCTGAGCGGGACCTTTTGACTACTGGCATCGAGCCGCCCGCCCGCTGTTTAGCTGTCGAGGTGAAAAGAAACGCGGGACTCTTCTTAACTTTTTTCTACGCGGGAGGACACAAAAACGTATTTTGTCGGAAGAGGGTGACGGAGGACAGGCAAGAGTGGGTGGAAGAAAGATGGGGTGCCCCGGCGTACAGAGGCGAAACTCGGGAGACAAGCTCCTTTTTTCTTTCTGCGGCTCTCTCGGATGAACTTGACAAGAAAGGTCGCCAGAGTGTGCGTGAGGAATGAGGGTTTTCCTCCTTGGTTTCTACCTTAGACGATGAATGAGTACAGACGTCAGACGTCACATTTAGACTTGGGTACGCTGATAGAGGTTTGACGAGCGGCTTCGTGATTGACGTTATACATTGCCTTGCTACTACTGGTCTAATCTACAGTTGTCCAAGAGCAGAGGGAACTTTACCACCCGCCTCCTCTGCCTCTGTTATAGCCTCCCCTGCCGCGACCTCTGTACCCACCATCGCCGCGTCCATACTGCGGCTGTTGCTGGTATTGGCTGTGTTGTTGCGGCGGCGGCGGCGGCGGAGCGGGTGCCCCCCATCCGCCCATATGTGGTGGAGGCGGCGGCAGACCGGCACCAGGTGGCAGAGCACCCCAATTCTGCGGAGGCCCGCTGATGTAGCCTACAGTGGGAGGATGAGTAGGTGGAGGGGGAGGCGGCCATGCTCCTTGGAAGCCTTGAGGCGGCGGAGGGGGTGGTGGGAAGTGTCCGAACCCGCCGGCCGCGTTTGGAGATGGTGGTGGGTACGGTTGGAAGGCGGGAGGACTGTGGTGATTAGGGGGAGGAGGCGGCGGTGGCTGCGGCTGGTTGTAGCCCTGGCCCGACTCGTCATTGTACCGGCCGCGGCCGTGGGGTGGAAGTGGTGATCTGCTCGAGTCGCCGCGGCCTCTTCTCCCACCTCTTCTCCCACCTCCTCGCTCACGAGATCGGGATCGGGATCTGTAGGGACTCCGCGACCGGGAGCGTGACCTTGACCTTGATCGGCTGTAGTCTCTGGATTCGTAACGGCCCTTGCGTGGAGGGCTCTGTCGCCGATCGCGGCTGTGGCTTCGGCTGCGGCTGGGGCTCCGGCTTCTAGAATCTGGCGAGAGCCTGCGCCTCTTGGACGCGGGGGGCGAGTCGCTTCTACTCGACCGGCCAGGGGAGAAGCTGCGAGAGCGACTTCGCGAGCTGGATCGGCCACGGCTGCGTCTGTCGCCTCCTGGCTTTCCCTTCTTGCGCTGCTTCATCTTCTCGCAGAAGTTGCGCGACCAGCCGTAGTATGTCTCTCCCCCAATGACCTCGCCCGTGATCTCGTCGAGGATGACGCGCTCGCCCATCTCGCTCAGGTCCGTCGACTGCTGATCGGGCTGCTGGGGCGCCGCCGACTTGGAGTATAGTCTCTCGACGTCCGCGAGAAGGTCCTTGACTGCCTTGGCGAGAGCCTTGTCCGCGGGGCCTGGCGCGAGCTGAAGCGGCTTGATCATGTTGGGATTCATGGCCTTCGTAGAGTTTGACTCAAGATGCGGGAGCCAGTTGGCAGCTGGAAGGTCGAACCAAGGCGTGTTCGGGTCTCCGTGCATCGAGGGAATCATGTAGGGCGCGTCCTTTGCAGGTTTGACAGCGAGGTTCGACCCTGTCTGGTTGTTCGCGCCCTCGCCCTCAGCAGCCTTGGTGACTTTACCGCCATGGGGGGCTTCCTTCACCGTCTCCCTCAAGTCTGCGATCGTGTGCGTCGAGATGTACTTTTGCTGGTCCCAGAGCGACAGGAGATCGTCCAGCTTGCGCATGTGTTTCGGGCAGTTGTGGAAGCTAGCGGCAGCGTGAAAGAGCGGCGGGAGGCTGGGCTGTAGCTCCGTCGCGAGGCGCGTGTCTCTGTCCCGCACGACGGCGTGGTAGAGAACGTCGTTGAGGATGTAGAGAATGTGCAGACGCTTGCGCTTGGAGGAGGGCTTCGTCTTGTTCTTCGCAGCACCAGCGGCGGCGGCGGCGGTAGCATCATCGCCTGGGAAGGATTTGGAGAGGGCGGCAAGGTATTTGCCAAGAGCGGCGACACGCGCCGGCGAGGGCGCCAGATTCTTTAGGATCCATCGCTTGCATTTCTAGAGGAGGCAGCAGGAGTTTAGTTGACCTGCGACATGTATACACGACGGAAACGGCTATGCTTGCGGCAAGAAACACGTAGAAGAGAAGAAAATGGCGCGGAGAGAGAGGCCGTTTCAAGAGGGCATCAAACCTGAACGTTGGCGGGCGAGCACTGGTGTATCGCATCGTGAAGGAGGGTGTGGAACGTCTCGATCTCCGGCCTCGTGAGGGAGACAGGCTCTTTGCGGAAGAGCAGGGCGCTAAAGGAGGCCTTTGCTATCGCCAGCTCGGGTGTTGCCATTGCGCTTCGATTCGCATGCCTGCCGGCGCGCAGGTAGGTGAGCAGCGAATGTGTTGTTGTGAGGGGGTGAGTGGTAGTGTTGGGGATGTTGAAGTTGAAGCTACGAAGCGGGAGCTGTTAGAAAAGAGCTGAAAGCTTCATGCCAGCCAGGCACACAAAGCTGCATGCGCCGCGCAGGGCGTAAAACTGTGGCTTAGCACTTGGATCCAGCTGTTGGAGTGAGTCGGCTGGAAGTCGGGGTTCTGCGCGGCTTCTTCCGCAAAGGTGCTAGGGGACCCAGGCCGCCCAGTGCGGATTGCCACGAGGTCACTATCTTAGCGGGCAGCCCTCCGGCTACCCTTGAAGCCAAGATGCGGTAACACCTGCGGCCGGAGCGTGCGCCGTGATATCGGAGGGATCATGGGGGCGGACTATTGCGATAGGCCATCGAGGGGCAAGTATCTACTTATTCATCCAATTGAACGGAGCGGTTTTGCTGGCTTGAAGCTGTTTGTGCAGCTGAGACCTCTCGCTTGTGTTGGTGTTGGACAGAACCACCGCTGACGTAGGGCTAGTGTCCAATGATTCATTGACAGTCTGCCATCATGGCCTCGTCCAGAAGACGCTTTTGCTAAAGTTACAGAAATGACCGCCATGGCCTCCCTTCAAAATACAATAATCCAGAGGTCAATTGGTAGAGAGGCGTAAATTCTTTCGTGTCGTGCTCAATGATACAAAGCGCGGCCATAACCGACCAGGGTGTTAATTATAATACACAGACTCGGGTCCGGTCGGGCTGCTTCCATCGCCAAACGTTTCGCGCCACTACGAGAAGCGGTCTCCCTTTGGACTCTTGAACGGCGTACTACTCTCGTATTTGCTCTTCTCCAATATTCTTTGTTGTTCCGTGGTCGGGGCATGGCGGGTCGGGGCGGGGTCGGAGCTGGACTCCTGGCTCGGCGAGCCGGCGGCATCGGTGCGCGGCTCTCCGCCCATGGTGGATGCGGAACCGGGCTGACTGGGGACGTTGTCGCCGTATTCCATGGACTGGGCCATCTGCTTGCGCTTGCGCTGCTCTTCGAAGCGGGCTGCGCGGTCGGCGTTGATGCTCTGCTTGGCGAAGTAGTAGGCCGTTCCGCCGGCTACATAAGTCGGCGTGTTAGCTACGGTACGAGGGCCAAGGCATGCTCAAATGATCACGTACCAAGACAGAGAGAGCCCCATCCGAGCCTGCAAAACACAGAGTGAGAAGATCAGCGTGACGGACGACGAGAGATGGTTTGCGACGAGTCAAGCGTACCAGAACGATTTGACCTGGGATCAGGCATGATGTTAGCCAGAGACTTGAAACCATATGCGACGGATAGGCTACAACTTACGGTGTTCATGTTTGCGGCAGAATATGGGGTGGACGATCAACTGGACAGATCTTGTCACAGGGCTGAAGGGTTGGCAGGTTTGTCTGGAACGCAATGGGAGGCAGCGAGCGAGAAGAGGAAAAAAAAGTTGCGCCGTTCGGAGTTGTTTGAATGGAAGATCTAAACCTGGTCAATCGGAGCAGTTGTCCAACAGTCAGCACGCACTGTGGTAAAGTGGGATGGTCTGATAATGAAGCTCCCCGATTGCTTGGCCTTGAGCCGTGCACGCGATTTGTGGACCCCGAGCGAGAGCGCAGGAAGGCGAGTGCAGCGTGCGGTGGTGGTTGCTCTCAATCGAGTTTAGCCGGCTTGAGGCGGTTGAGCCATAAGGTACGTACTCTTTTTGGAGGCAGCATCCAGCACATTAGATAAGCACGCTAGGAAGAGTCGCGCCTCACCAACGTTGAAGGGGGGAGAGAAGCTAGGTAAGAAGAGGATGGCGGATGGACAGCTGGGTCGAAGGAGGAGGGCAACAACGGCGAGGGCGAAAGTGATGTACAGGGGCCGCAGTGTTTACAGCGAGCGGCAGATCAGGCAGTCTGGCGGGTGTTCAGCGGGTAGGCCTAATTTCGGAACAATTAGCGTCCAGGTCCTGTCTCTCCACGCCCGTCGATTGGGTGTACGGTACTTGGTGCGTATGCAGTGTGTGCAGCATGTACGAAGTACCTACTTCGGGTCTGGTCTTGGGCAGATTCACTCAGGTACCAAGCCAGTGAACCCCGGGAAGCATGCATCCTCTCCCCCAATTCCATCCCCCTCCCCCAACCTTCTCGCAATTACTGGAACCCAGCAAGGCCAGGTACTTGGCGTGGAGGTACCTTGTCCAAGTACTATCCGTATGTGCGCCCAAATTACCTGACATCTCTTGGAAAGCAAAAGGTCGAAAAGGGCCCGCAGCTGGCTCTGGACGACCCTTGTTACCTAAGGTAGTACTCATAGTAAGTATACTACTCGCCGAGGGCTGGGAGGAGCTGGAGGGCTGTGGCAGACGACAGCCCAAAGAGGGACGGAGACTCGGCTTGGCAGGGCCATATGTCATTATGGATATTGCTACTCTAGATAGGACAGCGGGCACGGCGTACGTAGTGTACCTGACGTCGCCGTCGTAATTGAGGGCGGTGTTTGGATGGCGACGTCTCCAAAGGTCCCTCAAACCTTACGTACATGCCACCACGTACCTCCTGGCACCCGCGCAGAAGCCACTCGAGCGTGCGTATTGTATTGTATCCGTATGTAGGTAGGCACATCCATCCATCGGTAGATAGGTACCTGAGCGGTTGTACCTGACGGCAAGGTACAGAGAGGTAGGCCAGCCGGTTGCCTGCGAGCAAGGTGCACCGCACCACACCCCAACCCGCACACACTACTCCATCCACAGTCCACCACGGTGCCGTCCCAGCAAAACGGCTGGGAATCTTATTGCTCCAAGGGGCCTTTGCAATGCCACTTCGTTGTCAATCACAACTTTACCACGGATACTACTGCCGCTACCTCGACTCGACCACCACCACCACAACAGAAAAAAAAAACATTCTGCCCTCCGTCCCCTCTCGCGTCTGCTCCTGATCCACTGCGATTCTGACCATACATCTATGGCCATGCCCGCCTGCACGTCGAGGTAGCTTCGAAACGTCGCCCAGCATCATTATGCTCCCCAGCCCTCTTGCACGGCCGTCCATCCCACTTCGCAGAATCCCTCCGAACAGCCACGCGCATCAAACTATCGTCTTCGCTGACATACCCTCGCGATCCTCAATCCCCGTCCGACAGCCTCTACACCATCCCTTGACAAATTAAGCACGCCAGACTCGCCTTGTCCTAGCCCGCCGTTGATGGGCTCATGAAGATTCGTTTGAAGACGTGGGTGTAATGGGTATCAGCACCCTGAGCCCCGCCGTCCAGCTCAACTGTCATCATGCCTCCCCCCGATCAAAATGGGCCTGATGGCTCATCACTTGTTCGTTCCCCAAGCCGACAAGACCCCCTCTGACTTTGTGACTGACATGGCTGGCAGAAACCCGTCTCCTCCCTGAGAGCCAAGTTCGAGAACATGAACAAGGGCGAACCTGCGCCTGCACCTGCCCCCGCGCCTGTCCTTCCGTCGGGCCCTTCTCCGCCTCGAACAATCTCACCGGGCCCGAAGCCTGAATTCCTTCGAGATGCAGCCAAGTCTACCGAAAGCCTTCCGATACCCCCGAGACCGAGAGAACGTGGCAGCATCTCGACACCGTCTCTTCCTCCTCCGCTGCACGAGCCAGTCCCTCGATCGCCGGGCCGCTCCCTGGGCATACCTCCCACTCTGAAGCCGGAGCCCGTGAAAGCTCCCTCCGTCATGGTAGAGCCTCCTCAATCTCCTCCGAAGAATACTGTCTCCAGATTTGCGCATGCCGAGACCCCGGCTTTCTTGAACGCTGAGTCCGGCGCATCAACTCCGACAACTCCCACTACCGCGCGGCAGTTCAAGATCCCGAGTCGGCCCCATACCCCCTCTCTCGAACCGAACCGGCGCAGCCCAAGGCTGTCGGCCTCCCAACCGCCCTCTCCCCCGCCCCCGAGAAGGTCTGGCGAGATTCGCAGAGACAACAGACCCGCCGTCCCGCCGCCTATCAACCGTGCTGAAAAGCCGTCAATGCAGTCTCAGCCGAGGCCATCGTTTTTCGCTGATCATGTTGTAACCGCCAATAGACATATGCTGAAGCCGGAGACCTCTCCGTTCAGCAGCCCGCCTAGCAGCCCCGAACCGGCACCCCCGGTGCTTCCTTCGAGGCCAAAGGCGCCTGCCACACATTCGGATCCGCCGCCTCAACAGCAACGGGGAAGGACACTGGATGTTGGATTTGCACCTCCGCCTGTACACCACTCGATCATGACGAAGAGAAACCAGCGGGACCAGGAAACGAATGGATTTGTCAAGGGCCAAATCACGCCTCAAATTACTGGCGAGACCCGTCCTTCCGTACCAGCGCTGCCCGCGAGACCGCATACGACCGCCGAGCCACCGCCACGGCCCCTTTCTATGACCATGAAGCCGCCCCCGCGACCCCCAAGGCCTGGTATCAACACACATCCAGTCTCCGAGGCTCAACCACCGCCCAAACGTATTGTTTCGACCCCCACAACCCATCTTCCGCCACCTACCCGGTTGCCTGGACGTGCCAATACGGTGACTGACAGAACATCAGAGAGGACCACGCCTCGCCCGCCGCCACCACAACCTCCCATCTCGCACCCTCCTCAACCCGTGCAACACCCATCGCCGCCGCCGCCGCCGGCTGAGACGACGACTGCTCTCATCCCATCGAGCAATCATTCGAAGGTTGATGTCAACGGCTCGAGCCAATCCTTCCCGGATCCTTCCAACGTCAACCGGAGACCCCCCTATATCAAGCAAGGTATGCACGAAATCCAGACCAAGTACGATCCCAGAACATTCGACGTTTGCGGCGACCTGGTTTGCACCACTGGTCACTTGACCCGAGTTTGGAGTTTGCGGGATGGTGAACTCCTTATGAGCTTTGCCCACGGTGAGGGCATCAAGGCCACAGCAGTGGCGTTCAAACCTGGTAATAATGTCGATGAGGAAGGCGAACGCCTATGGATTGG